GGCGCCAGCTCCGCCCGCCGGGGGCGGCTCCGAGCCCCGCGCCCCGCCCGCCTCCGGCGGGAGCGCCGGAGAGACCCCCAGCGCTACCCGGCTGCGGCGCCTCCTCCCGTGCTCGGCCTCCCGCCCCCGCCTCCCGCCCGTGTTCCCCGAGCCCCGGGGCGCACAGCCCCGCCGCTCCGGCCCGCCCCGGTGAGCGCACTCCGCCTCGGTGGCAGCGTGCGGGAACGCTCGCTGTAGCAGCCCCCAGAAGCGCTCGCCTGCTGCAGAGGGTGTAAGCGGCAGCAGCGAGCTGCTGCGGGGCGGCGAGAGCTACGTTTGTAGTCATGCCCCTTGGAGGGCTGCACGTTGTCTGCGCTTGGAGCACCTCTGCACAAACTGCAGTTTTATGTCAGCTCAGTGGAGCTTGTTCTGCTACGTTTCCTGCAAAGGACTAGCTTCTTGTTAAATGTATCACAGCATCCTAGGAGCGCCAGTGGCAGGGCCTTCTGGAGGTCTCCAGTCAAACGTCCTGCTTGGAGCATGACTATTGCCGGCAACAGGTGAAGTCAGTGGTTTTGTCCCACTGAGTCTTGAAAGCTGCCCAGCATGGCAATCTACACCTCTCTGGTGCCCTGTCCCAGAGCTGATCCGCTTTTCTGAGGAAAGATTTTCCTCATGTCCATCATCAAGCCAGTAGTAGTGCCTGTGCAAGCAGGTCTGGGCACCATCCAACTTCCCTCAAAGTTACACGTGTTTCTTATAACTAGTGAGTCTTCTAGCCTGGAAAGAAACCGCCTTGGTTTTACAGGAAGAATCTATCCTGACTTGGCCAGCAGAGATGATGGGGGAGGTTTTATAGCGTTGCCCTACTGCATGAGCAGCAACAGTCAGGAAGGCAGTCCTAATCCTGTTGCTCCCGTGGGTGCTGCAGGCATTTCGCTCACAGCTGACTGGAAAGTAATCAGTGGGACATCGGTGACTCACAGGGTGATACTGACAGCTGACCAGGCAAAATCCTGCTTGTTGTCTGGCAGACTTACATGTATCTGGGCTTCAGAGTGCTTCAGGTACACCATGCGACGCTCAAGTGGTTTTCAAGTGCAATAACTAACTCCTGTTAGTAGCCCTTAAAGCTGCTGTTGATTTGCTCTCATGAAAGCAAAGTGCAAGGAGAAAGTGAATCTCATTCTTCTCACTGGTTAAAAATACTTTGTAAAACACACACACACACATACACACACACACACTCGTGTGCTTGCATGCTGCTCCTACTGTCCTCAGCCCTTAAGGATATGCTGATTTCAGCAGCCTCTGGTGCTGCCTGGTGCGCTGCCAAAGTGACAAGAATGAGCTATTCTGCTGCCAAAGTGCATGATCAGAGACATCTGCTTCCTCTTTTCTGTTCACTTAGATGTTTCTTTCTGACACATTCTGCAAGTCAGTCCAATAATCATCTTGTGCTTTGTTTAAACTTGATGTTGTGAGCAACATGACAGCGATGCCGGTGTCCATGACACTATAATGACACCATCACTGATGGCACTGATATTCTCAGTCAACATTCAAACAACCATCAGCTCAATAATTGCCTTTTTCAATGAGTAAACTTAGCTTTCAAAACCTTCAGGCTCTCCAGATTTGATCTTTCATGGATCAGTTGGTAGAAGGCATCCCCCAACGTGAGCCAGCAGAAAGTCCATTCTTCAGAACTAGCAGGTCAGTCCAGAGTTTCCACTTGTGCTATGAAACTTGTCTTTCCCTTCTTTCAGTTTTGAACTGTGTACCTGTAAGGAAAGTGGTGCATTGTGAACCAGACCTCATCTGTGACTCAAGGAAGAGTCAATTTGATTTCCCATGACACTATTACATATGCCATCTTTCAAATTTGTCTAGCAATAGCAAAAGAAATGACAGTACTGTGTTCAGTATAAACATCAGAGAGTTAGGAAATGTCTAACACATTTTTCCATGGGTCCACTGTAGCTCCCCATCATGAATGTCTGCCATGTTTACATGAATCCTATAAAAAATTGCCATTTTTTCCATGGGACCACTGTCTTGCTTGGTCTCAGCATGTCTCTGGAAGTAGAACAAGGCTTTGTGATTAAAGAAGGCCCTGTTGCTGGAAGGGATCATTCACACTCTGCACCACGCAAGTGTGCAATGATGTGTTAAAGGGTAAATATAGACTTATACATCCAAGCAGGTAACGCACACTTATTTTTGGCAAAGAGGTAAGGTATCCTAATGAACCCATGATCGAGGAAAGAGAAATATAGGCCTTGCAGGAGAAGTACAAATGAGCTTGTGTTTGTGCAAGGTCAGGCTGCTCACACTGCATGTCAGCCCTCTCCAGATTTTCACCATTGAAGTCTACACTCCAGTCCCACCAGTAAGGAGTCCTTGGAGATCTCACTTTTCCAGTCACACCATAGTCCACTCCGACGTCATCGTGTTGTGATGTTCTTTTTTGGCAAAGTTAATTTTTAGTCTTCTTCACCCTACAAAAAATAAAAAAAATACTGCTGGACTATAATGCTTTGCTACACATGAATACATCTGTCCATCCATCATGCCTAATGACTTGTAAGTCTGATTTTAATCAAATTTGGCAGATGGAAGAGATTGTAAACATCTAAAATACCTGCCAAAACAAGCCATGAGGGTGCAACAGAGTGAAAGTTCACCGGTAATGTGGCAAGACATTTGCAGTTAGGCATCAAAGAATGAGGAGAAAGAAGAAAGTTATAAGCCCCGTAGTCTTAGAAGAAAGGCAAAGTTCTCAAGGAGCATGGCAGAATCCAGGAAAGGGTGTGAATATGAGTCAAATGTGAAGTTCTCAGTCAGAGAGCTCATGGAAAGCTTTCCAGGTCTGTGCATGGGTCAGTATTTTAGCCAGAGCAATAGCATCATGTATTTCCAATGGGGAACCACTCCTCAGCTGACAAAAAAGCGTGTGTTCACCACCAGCACTGCAGGGACGTACCCACATGAAAATGCAGTGCCCCACAGCAAAACATGGCCCATCTGGGTATGTGTTCTTGTGGAGCTGAAGGTGCCTGGGACAGTGGCAGGGCAGTAGCTGTTCTAGCCCTTCTGGGTCACCCCTCACAAGCTCCTTTCTGGCCAGGGAGGGCACAGAGAAGCACAGCCCCACAGCAGCTCTCCTGTCTGCTTATTCCAAGCTCCGCATGCATCATGTCAGCTTCTCCAGGAAGAGTGGGAGTTTGGGCTTGTGACTTTGCTCTTCAGCATGGTCGTGGCAGCCCTGAGCATCTATGGGACAAGGCCACACATGTGTGAGCAGACCTGGATTGTGCTGGGGTGAAGCCCACAGCCCTGGATCACTCACAAGACCAAAAACTGTGCCGTGCACATCTCCAGGGCATGAAAGTGGTGCCTGGCACAAGCACAGCCTGGGCAAAAGTGAAGTGAGAGGAGAAGATACTGTCAGGATTTGGTGCCTGGCCAGATGGAGAGGGCTTTTGCAGAGTGGTGGGTGGCAGTAGAGCCATGCACTCTGTGGTATGTGGGGGTCCATGCCAGGGTACCCTGGGTCGCAGGTGCCCTCTGCTGACACCGTGCTCCCAGGCACTGGCAGGGAGCCCCGGCACTGTGGAGCTTCCCAGAAAATCCAGTGCAGCTCTCTCCATGGATGTTGCTTCCAGGGATGCCAGCAGGACAGAAATAGGCTCCTTCTCCAGCAGTGTGGGCTCGGGGACACACACCCTCTTTGATATCTTTGTTTCTTGGATTTACAGGACCTATTAAAGTGGTCTGTTAGCTTCCCGTAAGGTATAGCTTTCCTTAGTATCAAAACTGCAGTAACACAGATTAATGATATTGGGAATTTGTTTTGGCTTATTTATTTCAGAGCGTACCTGCAGCCCAGAGAGCCAATTGTACCCTGGGCTGCCTAGAACGAATTGTGGCCAACAGGTTGAGGGAGGTGATTCTACTCTGCTCTAGTGAGACCTCACCTGGAGTGCTGTGTCCAGCTCTGGGGTCCCCAGAAGAAGAAAGACATGGACCTGCTTAGAGTGTAGTCCTGAGGAGGCCATGAAGAAGATCAAAGTGCTGGAGCACCTCTCTTATGAAGACAGGCTCAAAGTGTTGGGGTTGTTCAGCCTGCAGAAGTGAAGTTAGGCTTCTCTTACGCTCTAGGGAGAGCTTGAAGCAGCGTTTTGGTAGTTAAAGAGGGCTTTATAAGAAAGATGGGGATAGATTTTTTTTTTTTTTTTAATCAGAGCCTGTAGTATCAGAAGGGACAAAGCTTTCAAACTGAGTGTAGATTTAGACTGTACATGAGAAAATATTTTTTTTTCCAGTGAGGGTGGTGAAACACCATAACAGGTTGCCCAGAGAAGTTGTGAATGCCCCATTTGTGGAAGTGTTTGAGGCCAGATTGTATGGGACTTAGAGCAACCTGGTCAAGTGAAAGTTCTCCCTCTTCAGGCCAGGGGGTTGGACTAGATAATCTTCTATAGGTCCCTTTCAGCCCAAATTGTTCTCTGTTTTTTTCCTATTGCTCCCTTCAAGGCCTGCAGAAGCCCAGGGATATCCTCAGTGTCTGTCTCTCGCTCACTGACTCTGGGGCATGCTGTGTGGATGGGAGGGAGGCAGCACCATGCAGGCACATTCCTCTGGTCTTTCTTAGTCATGGCAGCAGTGCAGAGCAGTGTACTTGCACAGGGCAGGGCCACCAGGCAAGGGCATGGCTCCGTGCTGCCTGCAGCTCACCCTGCTGCAGGGACATGAGCCTGAGTGTCACAGTGCAGCCCCCTGACCCCGGGATACTGCTCCACCAGGTCACTGCTTGCTCCTGTGTGTGCTGAGGAGCTCTTCTGCCAAGGCGCTGGTTTAGGAGGAGGACTGGGAAGGGCTGACTTCATCTGGAGGGACAGCTGGCAGCAAAGGAACAAC